TGATCGGGATGCCATACAGATTCATGTCAAAAATACCGAACTATCCCTTTAAGCACCGCCTCTGGCGGTCATCCGGGATTCATAGAACCGTAGTTAGCCGTAACTTTTCCCTGATCTTTCAGCATTAAGCAAATCATAAATATATATAAATTATTTATAAATATACAGCAGAAACAAGCCTTAGCCTTTAGAGTTAACATCACCTGAGCGCTAGGAAACGTTTGGCAGGATATTTACATTTAATAACTGTAATCACTATTTAGTGATAATGCCATTTTAAATGAGTGTCTGAATGTCTAGTGGATGAAAAAGTAGTGGACTCAAATTTTCCCACAATGCACCTTTAAAGTAGTGATGATCTGTCCCCGCTCTCTATAGTGACGGAGGGATTTAGTGGTTAGAAACGTTTAGAAACAGCCTAGATCTACCATCTTTACCTACTCATCCTCTAAAGTCAATCACTGATCTGGTTGATCTAGCTCTATGATGGGACCTGATATGACATGGTGGGATTGGGAACATAGAAATAGTGCAAACAGAATAAATGTTTTCCTTCATCATCTTTAGTGTTTAGCTTAGTTTCTGTAGACGAATCGCCACCTGGTTGATGGGTGACCCCATGTGGGCCCCTTGGAACCATGAGCTAAATCATTAGCAGCAGACTCTGAGCGGACAGACGTTCTCCCTGGAAGGTGGACTGGAAGCGACGGGCTGGAGGTCCAGGAGGTCAGCTGAGCCTCAGCCATGGGGAGAAGAACCACAGACCAACGGTGAATATAATCTTTTATTTTCTCCAGCTGAAGAAGCATCCACTAAAATTCTCTGAAGTATAAAATTTCTTTAAATAAGTTTTGAATCTGTAAACTCTCATCATCGTCATCATCATTATATTAATCCCTGAAGGTCATGATAGCCTCCACCAATCAGGAGCTCTGTGGGGGTTAGCAGCCTGAGCTGGGGTCACGGGATAGCGCCGCTCTCCGCGCGTTAATGGCGGCACTGCTGAGTCCAGATGGCGCCGGTTCTGCTGAGGCTCGGTTTGCTGCCAAAGCCGTCGGTCCTGCTGCTCTGGGTCCAAAGGAGGTTTGGCGAGGCAACGAGGTGGAAGGAGAGCTGGTTGGTCGCTGACGGGTCTGTGGGGGGGGGGTCAGGGTTAGAGGCTGGATGAAGATGAGGAGGAGATCCCTGAGGAAGGTGGACAGGAGGGCCCTGAGGACAGAAGGACAAAGTTTAAAACCTCAGAACCATCCAGAACCATCTACACCCAGCTGGACGGTCCATGTGATGATGTCATGGCTGTGAGAGCCTCTGATTGGTTAATTCTCACCATCAAACGAGCAGATTTAGCTGAAAAGGGAAACAAGAAGACCTCCAGAGGGACAGAAGGGGGCGGGTCCTAGACCACCAAGTAGTCATAAGTCCAGAACCAACCATCAACCAGAAGGCCAAAGCTTGGAGACACCTGGATCCTAATGTCCCTCAGCAGATCGGCCGCAAGGTGTCTGCAGGACAATCTGGACCATCTAAGTCCAACAGAACATCCATGACCCACCAAACATTGGAGAACCTTCTGACCTCAGACGCTCCCTCTGACCTCAGACGCTCCCTCTGACCTCAGACGCTCCCTCTGACCTCAGACGCTCCCTTTGACCTCAGACGCTCCCTTTGACCTCAGACGCTCCCTCTGACCTCAGACGCTCCCT